TTAAAATTTTAATGTTGTTATCTAAATTATTAGAAATCAATCACAAACCATCAATAATTTTATTTTAAAAATTAATATCTACTTAAAATAATTATTTATCTATTTAATTTTTGAATTTTTTTTACTTTATCCTTTTATTTTATGATCCTTTTTTATTTTATGATTAGATTAATTAGGAATGGAAAAGTGAAATTCAATATATATTATATATATATATATATATATTATATATATATATATATATATATATATATAAATAATATGGTTTTTAATTCTTTTTCTTCTGTATATATATAATTTATATTTTTTTTTAAAAGTCACCATTTTTAATTTTTGTAAGTTTTTGAAAAGTCTATATAGACTATGAAACCATATATACTAAACACCTTATAAATTATAAATAACTTAAAAAACTAAAAATATAACATATAGTAAAAAGAGCCAATCCGCGCATTTTGTGGCGGGGTCTTTTACCTAGTAATTATATAATCCTGATGCAAAAAAAAAAAAAAAAAAAAAAAATTAAAAAGCTTACTTGGTCACTTCTATTTATAAGCCATTCTATTTTTCATGTTTTTAGAAATTTTTGTATTTTTTTTCATCAATTTTTAATATTAAATTAATTAATTAATAATAATAATAAAAGATAACATTTTAAAACTTTAAATTATTAGGACGTTGTAACTAAAATAACTAAAACACCAAATTGTAATCCTTATCTTTATTAATATTTTTCTTATTTTTACTTTTTATAGATTTTAATTCAAGTTAAATTTTCTAATTTGTTTATCTCTAAATTTTAGAATTTTCAAAACAATGGAAGCAATAATGTTTGTGTGCATAAATAGCATGAAATGGATAGCTATTTTCACAAGTATTTGAAATTCTGAAACAAATAGTACAGAATATCAAAATCATAAAATAAAAATTTGAAAGTGGCTTGAGTTCACTTTAGCAACAAATTGTAGTGTTATCCTAGATGAGTCGAGACTGAACTTGCACCACCACTAATTCCGTGCCGCTTCTTCTACTGCTTTTGATAATGGGTTTTGATTGTAATGGTTTTCTTTTTCTTTTTTTTTTTTTTTTTTTTTTTTTTTTTTTTTTTTTTTTTTTTTTTTTTTTTTTTTAATTTTTGATTGTTATGATATAGAATCAGATGCTGAGGTTGTTGATTTGAATTTTGAAGGCAGCATGTTTAGCTGGCTAATATGGTTTATTTAAAAGCTGGGATACCTCCTACTGTAACTTAACAAAATTTTATTGACTATATGTCTATATTAATGCAGCTTTTTGTTGACTGTGTATTTATGTTAATATTTATTTTCATTGATGATAATGAAGTAGGGATTTGCCATTCAAATGTTCAGTTTTTGATTTATTGAGTAATCCGAATCTATTTTTTTTGTAAATATGATATCTTTATATGTTGTTATTTTTTTCATTTTTTTTTTTTTTTTGCAATTAAACAAGCTCGTCGTTGTTATTTGAACTAAAGACTAAGTTGATAGCAATTAAACAAGCTCGTCGTTTCTTAGTTGAATTTTAATTTTATTTGCAGTTGCATAAAGATTAGGATCCCATGGAAAAGTTCATATAATCAATAGCCTAAATTATAATAGTTGCCTAAAATTGAAAAAATAAGACAATTTATAATATTTTTTTTTAATTCAGCCTAACAAAAATTATTGCTACACACAAAAATTATTGCTACACAAATATATTATATTTTAAAAAATAAATATTATAAGACATATCATTCAAGTAATCTCCCACAAAATCCCCCGCAATGTGCAGGTATTTACCTTTTTTAATTAATGATATTGAAATAATTAAATTTATTTGTCCTTTTTCTTTGATACCTAATGCTTGACTGTTAAATATGTAGTAATATTATTCAAATAAACAAATATTTTCATTGTGAAAATAGATAATAATCAAATGTCAAAATTCGACGAAGTATGATTAATTTTATAAAGGTAGTAAGTATATTGAAAATAGATAATAAACTAAAAATCTAAATATGATAGAGTAATTATAAAAATTCAATAACTTGTCATGTATGATATCATGTATCAAGGAATGATTACTGATCCTTCCACTTATACTATTCCAAGTATGTGAAAGCAATAATTAATTATTTTATGCATGTTTGTCCTTCTTCTATCAAATTATAATTCTCTCAATTTATATACTTGCAAAATGCAAATTAATGACATGCAAATCTGTGTATGCTGCAGCCAAAGTCATATCAAGTTTATATTTTATGTTTTTTTTATGCCTTGTGTGAAATATGCACATCTTTGTTTGTTTTTATTTTTTTTATTTCAATAAATCAAGGATGCAAATAAAAAAAAAAAAAAAAAAAAAAAAATATATATATATATATACACTTGATTTAAATGAGAATTTATTCTATAATTTTATTCTATGAAACTCTACCAAAATTAAAAGAACTTGCAAATGAGATATGAATTTAACAAGGTTTATAACTTATTAAAATAGCTAATGAGTTGTAACTAATTATAAGATAATAGAGTAGCATATTAAAAATAAATTAACCTGTATATGGAAATTTACTTAAAAATGAATTTTTTAATGAAATTTATTTGCAAAAGAGATGATGTCATGTGAATTTGTTCCAAATATCATGTAAAGAACCATTAGAATTACCCATAACTATCAAATCCTTCATCCTTTTATATTAATTAAAAAATCAAATTCTATATTCTTCTTAAAATTCTATATTCTTCTTAATTAGCATAGAAAACGAAACGAGAAAACAAATTAAATTCACATTGTCCTTTTCTTTTTCAACCTAGATCTTCATTGTCTTTTCTGGACAATTTCGCTAACCGATTTAAAACATGAGCCAGGCGCTTAATTAGGCATGGCCGGTTCAGTGAATCGCCGGTTTGAGATGTTTAAAATTTTAAACCGAAACCAACCCTTGAACCTCCGGTTCCACCACGGTTTGACACGGTTCCAGCAAACCGACGGTTCAAATTACGGTTCTGATTCGGTTTCTGATTCGGTTTCGGGTTATTACGCAAATTTTTTTTAAAAAATAAAAAATTTGATACGTTATAAATAAATAATAATTTTAAATTGTTGAAATTTTATTAACTAATAAATTTATTATATTTAAAAAAAACTTCGTATTAACTTAATTAGAAATATTATTAACATTAAATTTACAAAATTTGTGCTAAATTCACTAATATAGAAAACTATAAATGGGAATATAAAATTATGGAATGAGTTGAAAATTATTATTCTAAATACTAAGAAATTAATTAAAAAAAATCAAAATGAAAGTAAATTTAATGATGAAAAATTGAGATTAGAGAAAGAATTTGGAAATTGGATGTAAGAAAATAAAAATAACAATAGATAATTTCCAATATTAAGCGAAATAAAGCAATAGAAAAAATAATGAACTATTGAAATTTGAGAGAATTTAAATTGATAATAAGAGAAAGAGTAAAAAGAGTTAAAATATAATTGGTTGTGAAAAAAAAAATCATCAACTCATCATATTTATATATGTTTCTCATTTATTAGTTTTCCAAATTGTTCCTTATAATAGAAAAATAATAGCTATATTTTTAGATAATTTAGTAAATTACAGTAATTAATTAATTAATTAATTAAAAAATAAATAAAATTTATTTACCTATAAATAAAAAAAAACACCTATCATATCAAAAACTATCCATTACACTCTTTTTTGTACACTTGAAAGTATTTTTTTTTTTTATAAATCAATTATTCATGTACCATTTTTTGTACAAATTAAGTCAAATCATGTATACTTTTTTTTCACCACTTGTTATAACTTGTGTATCATTGTACTTCTCTTCACCATAAATCAAATCAACTACAATCAAATAAAGTGATATAAATTTTTTTATAAAAATTTTAAGCTACAATTTTTCTACAATTTTTTTTGTGCATTCGGTTCGAACTGGACAGAAACCGTCGGTTAACCGTCAGTTCCAGGTCAGTTCCGGTTCATATTTAACATTCACATAAACCTTAATCGGCCCTTGAACCGTCTGTTCTGGTTTAAAATTATGAACCACTGGTTCTGGTTCATCTACAGTACGGTTCGATTCTAGTTAGAACTGAACCGGTGGCCATGCCTATGCTCAACGATAAAAAGCAAAAAATTAAATATTTACTTATCTCGCGACCAGTATCAATGGCAGTTGTTGTTGACCCATCTTTAGATTAATCAACTTGCCAATATTGTCAATATACACATAACCTTCGTGAAAAACATGGAATTGGAACCAAAACAATATTGAAATTCATGTTTAGTCTAAACCTGCAATAATATTTGCCAAGATCCCACCAAAGCCCAATTCCGTTTTGGTCAATTGGACCGAATAATATATGACATCAGGGTATTTCTGTTGGGAATGATCGTTAGTCCCGACTCATAAGCATGAAACCCAATTAAGTTTTTATTTTAATAAATAAATAAAAAGATTCAATGCTCTCTCTATATCCAACTTTTTATTTTTCTTTTGTTAGAGATTTTTAAAATTTTATTCTATTTTTCTGTATTGAAATTGGACAACTTAAATGTCACGACCCGATTCCGTGGGACGGACCGGCACTAGGGCCCAGGTAAGCTTAAGGCCCCCAAGGCCCGTAGTAAGCCTAACTCATCTAATCTATCGACCTATCTGTCCTCTATCGACCTATCCTGTCCCGATTTCTTCAAAAACAGTAAAGCCCATATATAAACGTCTGGCCCAATCTTCAATAACACATATTTACTAGGCCTATTCACAATAAATTATAATCACAATAAGGGGCTTACTGGTTCACCCTGCAGCTAATTACATATTTTAATTTATAGTGTATGTGCCCTAACAATAAGTCCAAATATTAAATACACAACCCTATACTGCGGAGTTCAAAATAATCTGATAATAGAATAATTTTAATACATCATAAGGAAATAACAGAAATTAAAAGTTTACATTTGTACTCTGCGGAGAAGACTTGCAGAGCTTCAGTCGAATCAGCTGCTTCCTAGTACCTGGGAGGTTTGGGAGAGAAGGGGGGTGGAACGTTTTTTGCAACTCAGTGAATATATAAATAATACACACCACATAACAGTCAAGCCACATGCACCCTAGTTATAAACTGAACTGAACCACAACAGTCAATCATTGACTTACATCAGCACCCAACAACAAATATCACTTCAAATAAATCACCATCACGTGGAAAATTAGTCAAGTGAGTCACCGAACCCCGATGAGCCGGTCTCCCACATCGGCTCATCCTCTCAACATGTGCACAGGGAGCAGATCCCCCATACTGGCCCGAACCGGTCTAAAATCCCTCACTTGACCAGTCCTCTCATTGTTTTTCCATTCTCTCTTTTCTTTTCCCATACCAACCAGGAGGCAACCCGGTCGTCTCCTTATCACCTTTTTCCAAAGTAAACAACAATAATAAAAAGAGACGTTTTCCGAGGTCCTTTTCCGGGGTTTTTAAGGGATTCTCAAATGGGGCGAAAACACCCGGCTAACACTAATCAGATCAGGATCCATATAACAGTAACGGTATATAACGGTAACGGTAATCATAATCAGGATCCATATACGGTAACGGTCTCACAAATCCCTGGTGATCCACTTCATCCTAATTCCACACAAACAAGGCACAACAATATCACATCACAGGTAATCAAGCAATATTTAATATCAACCAATAGTGCATCACAATATGGCAATAATGCATGATAACATTTAGCCGTGAATGCATGAATGCTATACAATTATGCACTAAAATAATATGAGCTTTATATAAAATATTTATAAGGTTTGTAAAAAAACCATGCTATGAGCAAATGCATGTTGATATGTCATTATTTATTATTACTCACAGTGATAGAGAGCGAAATTCCAGCTTTGATGTTGTCCTTGAGGGAGCACTGGATGGACCCGGGCGTCTATAGAAAAGGAAGAACGACAACAAAAGAACAATAATTCTTCAGACAATATTTCTTTACCCATTCTAAGACCATTTTTATTTTTTAATAATTCTAAAAAATTTTTTTAGCGTAAATAAATCTCGATATTTAATTTATTTTCTTTGTACTAAAATTTTTATTTTTCTATTTTAACTAACGTCTATCTTTATTTGTTTTCGTCTGAATATGTTTTTTATTTTCTAACGAAATTTTCGGCAACATCTCCCTAAAATTGGACTATCCACTGTTAAAAATATCAACATGTATTTATATCCCAATCACAAACGGCCATCGCATCGGGCAATCAACTGCAATTAATTTTTCCCATCCTCCATCAAATTTATATTTTTCCCATCCTCCACATTTATCCACAATAATATATTAATTTTTCTTTACTTCCATAAATCAAAATTTTCCAACAATTTTACCAGAATTTAATTTTAATTAATCAAATATATTTTTATTAATCGACTCATCAACACTAAATTAAATTAATTCAACTAATCAAATTTGCTAAATTAAATTACCTAATCAAGATTACTAAAATTAATTTAATTAACTAAAATTACTAAGTTAAATTATACCCAATTCTAGCTTTGATTCTGTCCTGGAGGAGCACTAGATGGACTCGGGCGATCCCAAGTATAATTCTTTTTGTTGAATTTCGCTAGATCGGAAATGTTTACGCGTGCTAGATCGGAGCTACGCGCATCGGGACTGCGAGCAAGTGGCGCGATCTACTGGACAGCAAGGATGGTGGTGCGACGTGGTGGCGCCGCGCTCGCTTGACCGGAAGTAGAAGGGGCTGTGGTGGCGCGATGAACTCGAGGAGCTGTGGCGCTGCGATCTGGCCGAGGATGAAGCGTTGCTGCAGGCGGAGCCGCTGGCTGTGGCGCGCGGAGGAGCGGCGAGGCGGTGCTGCGCGCGATGGAGGCGGTGCGACTGGCTGTGGAGCTGTACAAAGAAGAGAAGAAGAAAAGCCGAGGGTTTGGTAACTACCGGTCTTCCTACAGTAAAAAGAAAGAAATGAAAGAAAGAAGAAGAAAGAAGAAGAAGAAAGAAAGGGAGGAGGAGACGCGGTGACTGTGTTGGTGGAGTGGAGGTGGGCGCTGGTGAGGGTGAGAGTAGAGGTGCAAGCGCTGGAGATAAAAAGAAAAGAAAGAGATGTTCCTTAAGATGTTTGGGTCGACCGGTTCGATTCGGAACCCAAATCTTTGAATTTTCATTGGTTTCCGGCTTTTTCATCGGTCTTTTCTGTTCGATTTTCTCACAGTGTTCGCATTAAAATAATTAAAATAGTGTTCGCATTAAAATATTAAAATAAATTTCCAAGCTGTCGGTTTATTAAATTTAATTGGAAAATCTTTGAAAATAAAAATTCGAGTTGTTTCATTAAATATTTTAATTAATAATTATTCATATTAAATGATTTAAATTACTGAACCTTATTTATAAATAACTATCTATCCTAAAACACGTTATTTGAATTGCTTAAATTACACTACCTAAAATTTAGTTGAATTTTTAAATCGAAACATAATATATCTATCTATTTATATATCTGTATAATTTTTTTTTTACCAATTTTTGGGTTTTGCTTTATTTATTTGTATTGGCATTAGACCTTAAATATTTATTGAAAATATAAATAAATATTATCTTAATATTCTATTAACCATATTAGATAATTTAAATTATAGAGCTTTATTTGTAGAATTATCTACAATAAGCTATTTGAATTGTTTAAATTATAAGTAAATTAACTACAACAATCCAATTTCATCTCCTATGAGAATGTAAAGAGAAGTAACTACAGCAATAGCAGTTTATCCAATTTCGTTTTTGCAGGAGTATGTGTTTTATTCCAAGGTCTAGATTATAACAATTTACAATATTGTCAATATTGTCAATAACCAGGGTTTATTCCCAGGAAGGTAAGTTATTTTTTGATTTTTTTTTTCTTTTTTAAGAGGGGGTAATTGCCCACCCTCTCATCAAGGTGGCTTTGTCCTTGCTTCTATTAGTTATAAACTTATTTACAAGTTAAAAAAACTTCTTTATGTGTTAAAATAAGCTTCAGGATAATGAAATGTTAAGTTTATTGGAAAATGGATTTTCATTGATCTAAAGCAAATTATCTTTCTTCAGAAAAAACAAGGAAGTGATTTTGTTGCCTTATTAGTCTATATTGATGACATTGTTATAGGTACAATAACTATATGTCACTCATAGAGAAATTGAAAATCTTCATGAATTCTAGGTTTAAATTGAAAGACTTGAAAATTCTCAAATATTTTCTTGCATTAGAAATTGCTAGATATGTAATACCCACAATTTGACAATCTAGAATATTCTGATTACTATGATAATTATTGCTATTTGAAAGAATAGAATAATTGAAATTACTTTAATTTGTTAATGAGGAACTATTAATTAAAAGATATGATGTTTAATGGAAACCAATTTTGTTATGAAAATCAAATTTTAATGGAAACCAATTTTGTTATGAAAATCAAATTAGAAGAATGTTAAATGAACTTAAGCTTTGATGATGAGAAGCTAGCACTAGAAGCTCATTAAGCTAGCACCATGATTTAATATTTGATGGATTAATGTTAAATTGCCTAAGACATTTGATTAAAGTTTAATTGTGCGTATATATGTCCTCAATTTGGTAGTTGTTGATATTCTAGCTTGTTCAGTAATTTCGATTATCCGAGTAATCTAGAAATTGGGAATAACGAGAAACACTATATTTAGAGGGTATTAATATCAATTAAATGGAAATTAAAGTATTTATGAATCAATTTGAAAGATTGAAGGGAATTGAGAATAAGTTAAAGAAGAATGATTTCCCGGTAAAGCACAATTTTACTCGAAAGTCTCGAAAATCGATAATTTTGGTATAATGTTGCTTAAACAGGGCTGAGATTATTAAATAGACTTGGTTTAGGCCTAATTGGGACTAAACTAAATTATTAAAAAGATTTAGGTGCAATTGTAAGAAAAGAGAATCAAAGGAAGGATTAAGGTGTAAAAAGACAACTAAAGGACATGGACAGAATTACCATGAAAGGCTTTGATTGCCACCTATTTATGATGCATCATAAGGCACCTCTTGCTCATTTTTTGCTAAAAATGGTCGAAGCTCCATGAAAAGTTGATTGCACCTATTTATAAGGCTTTGATTGCCACCTATTTATGATGCATCATAAGGCACCTCTTGCTCATTTTTTGCTAAAAATGGTCGAAGCTCCATGAAAAGAGAGAGAGAAAACTCTTAAGGCAAGTTAAAAGTGCATGAAAACTTAGATACTTTCAAGTGATCCTTAAGAAAAGGTTGGTTATCTTATCTTCCTCTTTCTTTTCCATGTTTTATTTTTGATTTCCATGAACTATGAATATGAGGTACTTACTTATTGTTGCTGACTTGGTGGAGATGATGTGATTGTAAGTGCTTTTAAGGTGATTAAGTATGGTTAAGCATGAATTTGATGTCAAGTTTGCGTAATTGACCAACTTGGATAATTTTAGTCATTTGATTGATAATCTATGGATTAGGTATTCTGATATATGAAAGGTAATTATGTTATTTAAGTGTTAAAAGAGTTTTTATGCATTAATTAGTGGTGGAATTAACTTAAGGATGCTTAAGGAGGTAAAGTATTGCTTAAGTCTATCACAATTGAGCATCTTAAAATTCAGTCACTAAGATGGACTTGGTTAAATAGGTAAATGAGCTCGAAAAATTATAAAATTTTACAGAGAACTATTTTAGGATATTGGAAAGGCTGTGGTAAAAGGGCTACTGCAATGGGTAAATAGAAATGAAGTTATCGTAAATGAATGCATGCTGCTCAGTGGAGAGGCTGACAGAAAATCGGGTACTATGCTTAGGTTATTTAGCTATGCAAATGAACTCCAAATCCATGAAATTTTATATGGAATTAGCCTGAGATATGAAAAAGATTTTGTTAAAATTTTAAGACAAATAGATTTAAGAAACTAGAGATATAAAATTGTCATCCCTAATTAAGATATGTTTTGTTAAGTATTCTGCAAAGCCTTTAGCTAACAATATCAAAAGCTATATATAGTGTGACCTATATCAAAAAATGCACACACTATTAATGTATTTTTCAATAGTAATAATAATTTTAAAAATGCACACACTATTAATGTATTTTTCAATAGTAATAATAATTTTGAGAATTTAATTAATTATATTGAAATAAGAAATTAAGTATTTTTTTATTATTATGTTTATGATTTATTATAAATGATTATTTATTTATTTGAAATATTAATGTATTAGTTGTTTAATATAGTGTGTCCTAAGTATGTGGATGTCCTACTTATTTAAAAATTATTGTAACATGTACATTCCTATATCTCGTGTTCCATGTTCATACAACCTAACTCCTAGCATATGAGATTACTTCATACACCAAGTTGAACAACCAAGATTTTTTTTTTAATTACTAATTAAAAATGAAGAGTTTTTTTTTTTTTAATTTGTTCTTGTGTCATTGAAATAAGAAATTAAGTTTTTAAATTTTTGTTTATGGTTTATGATAAATGATTGTATATTTTTTTGAAATATTAATGTATTACTTATTTAATATAGTGTATTCTAAGCATGTTAATATCCTATTTTTTAAAAATTAGCGTACCTGTACGACGTTCCAATTTATATATTTTAAATTATTTATATCTTGTTTATTTATTAGTAATATATTATTTATTCACACTTTTAAGCTTGTAGATTACTTATTAATTGTTTTAATAAGAAACACTTTTAAGCTTGTAGATTACTTATTAATTGTTTTAATAAGAAATAAATTTATATTAATATATTAATGCTATAGATAATATTTTTTGTAGATATTATTTTGATAATGCTTTATCTGAATACATAAAACAATTTATTTTCTTACAATTATGTCTTATATTTTTACAATTGTACTAACTCTTATTAC